TATGTGGTGTTCATTTACCTTTACCCCGGTCTCCAAAGCCCATCCGCGGGACTGGGCCTTGGGCAAACCCATCGGTAAGAAATCAGACCCACTCCACCCCTATATTAACACACCGGAAGTTTCATGAGACCGTCCTCAACAGGCGCACAGCTGTGTCGCACACCGAATCAGGTGCAACACCCGATTGAATATGACGCTTGATCCGAGGAAGTTTGTGAGTTTTGAGGGTACACTTTTTTGATGAGTGTAAGGGAAACCAAAGGGAAGCTTTGGGGGGGGGGGGGCTCCGTAATTTGACACATAGGTCCCTCTCAAAATAACTATAGGGCCCTTCAAGTGGTTGGTTTCCTTGTGGCTTCCCTTTAACCCCATCCAAACGGCTCCCAATTTTCGGAGAGACCCTGCACTGACGACTCTTCAGCTGGTCGGTCCCACTGCAGCCCAAGCCACCTCACTCTGCGCCGCAGTGCCGCGCAAGGCCGGCTCCTTGGCCGATGTTGCCGATGTCTCCAGTTGCAACTGACAAAATGGAAATGGCCTTCTTTTTGTGTTTGGCAACTTTTTGTTTTGCAGGAAACCACCAAAGATGTTGCGGTGGTGCCACTGAACAACATGTCCCCCCGATGTGAACTGGGGATTTAGAACCCATATGGTCCACAACAGTGCCATGAATGCAAATGCGACATTTGACCCGGATCGGATTACTGACATTGCCTCGACCCGAAAGGTGTCTTGCAGAACCACGGCCGACGCACGAAAGGCTTCATGAAGCCACTTGCTTCAGGGACCTTACAACCTCCTCACAAGGGAACATGCTGGGGGGCCTCATGAACCTGGGCCCAAGGCTTCACGGCCTCTTTCAGGAGGATGACCAACGGTTGCCCAGAATTTGTGACGACAGCTAAATTTAAGCCTTCGGCTGGATTCGGAAAGTAAGCAAAGGCAAACACCGCCTGGACAGCAAGTGAACATGGGGCAGGCCTTCTTGCAATATTACATTCACTCCCAAAAAACCCTGAAAAAGGAATCCCCGAGTACAGGACCTATACTCAGTTGTTCAGTGACCCTGGAAAAAAAAGGACCCCTTTTTGGGGAAGACCATTTTTTAGTGGGGCAGTCACAAAAAAAACTGGAAAAATAATTGGTGCCACTGAACAACCGAGTATATGTTGGGTCTGGACCGTCTAAGTGAAGCTCAGGCCCCCTGGCACGAACCACACACTCCGCGAGGGCCAGAGCTTCCAGGCCAAAGCGAACCTGGGAAACCGATCTTTGAATCGAGGTCCTCCAGGAGAGAGGATAGAATGACTGGGTACCAACTTGTTTTCCGGTTTTGTCTATTTTTAGTAACCCTCCCCCAGAAAAGGGTAAAAGGGCACTACTGGAAGACCTAGGAGTTCTCTTTTGAGGCCCTACCCTCCCACCAGCTAACATGGGCTTGTGCACAGGCCCCTTTGAAAAGACTACTTGCCTCTTGGAAACGGCCTTTTTGCACTTCCATGTTAGTTGGTGGGAGGGTACCCTTTTTCGACTCCGGAGGACGTGCCGAACTCACTCTGAAGCATAGGGAGGACCACTCATACCCTGCCCCTTGCAGCAGAAACGCTGGGGTCAAACACAATTGCTCAACACACTGAAACCCCATCCTGGGCAATACTCCCATCAAACGGCGCTTCATCCTCACCCCCAAGTGAAAGGTGGGCCCTCTCTATCCATGGCTTTTCTTGTTCCCTGCGAAAAAGTATGGAACTCCATAGGTCCCTTGAGGTGTACAACCCCCCTCCGCCGGAGCCTCCGCCCATTCGGAGCCCCAAACTGAGTCCCGTGCCTCGGCCCCTTGAAGCCCCAGGAAGTCTTCTCGCAGCAGCAGCTCGGCCAGGGCCTCATGCCGGCGAATCCTTACCAACTCCCCTTCTAGGTCCTCCAGATTTGAGGGGGAAGGGTACCCACTTTTTTCATGTTTTTTTTTTGTAGTCTAGAAGGGGAACCCTCTCCCCCAAAAAAAGAGGGCAGGGCACTGCTGGGGGACCTAGCCTTAAATGGACACCATTGGCATGGGGCTCTTGCGTCCACCACTTTTTGGGGCCTTCCTCTCCACCCACAGAGCGTCGGAGATCTCAGCCTGAGATAGCCTGCTCTTGCCTTCGCTTTTGATTGAACGGCAAAGAAGAAGAACACAAACTACACTTGTGGCGCCCCGTTCCGTTCCTTTGAAGAGAAACAAGAGCCTTTTGCAGGGGTTCCCCATTTTCAAACTCCTCAGAAAGAGCACCATTAAAGGCACTTGACCAGTTGGGCGATCCCATGGGTGATCCCTTGAGCGCCATGGACATTTCTGTCTGTTGACCCACAGCGATCACGAATGCAATTCTGCCATATTCTGCCCGTATGCTACCGGGCTTGCATATCGGGCTGCCAGCTGAAGGGAGAGCCCTGCAACCGGAAAACAATTATGCACCCTCTCTTACTTTTACGTAGGGGCACAGGCAACATGGAACCATCAATATAGCGCTTCCCCACAAAAGAAGCGGTCCCCACTTTCTTCCTTCTCAAAGTCGGCCCCAAGAAGTGCCAGGTACACCGGAGTCTGGCTTTGAGAGCCTCCGGCAAGAGGGCCTAAAATGTTCCGACATGCAGAAGGAGTTCAGCCATCAGATGCTGACCACGCTTGGGCTCTGGACTCTGCAAGCATTGGATCATAGCCAGGTTAGCCTTGGGGCCACGCAACGGCGCGAGCCGCGACATCTTCCTGAGGCGACCAAACTGTCGCGACTTTCCTTGCAACTGGTTCAAAACCCGCTGAGCAGGGTGAGTTAGGGCGTGGAGCAATTGAACCATTGTATTATACCCACCCTGTTTGACAATTGAAGCTGTGGGTGATTTAGCACCCAGAAAGCCCGACATGTTGAATATGCAAGGCACTGCCACTCACGGAACTGGGTTTCACAAGGGACCCGCGAAACATACCCTCCCACCCTTTCTCACATGGAACCTGTCGTTCGAGGGTCCCTTTAACAGGAAAATGGTCCAAACCAGGACCCCCCCCGAGCGTCAGGTTCCGGGAACCTGCAGGGAAAATCGTGCCAACAACCGAAGGATTGCCATTCTGAAAGCGATATCCTTTTGGGGAAAGGCCTTTTTTGGGCATCCTTCTGTTTATCCTTAGGACCCCATATCACGATCCCCAATAAACGGGTTCCAGTTTCAGCTTGCACCCATGCAGCATCCTAGAACCCATTTGGCTGTGGGTCAAAGCCAATGGGATCCCATTGTGGGGAAGGTGCACCACAGACATGGGGAGTGGGATGTTCACTGAGGGAAAGGGATTTTGACCCATGGCCATTTCTTAGAATCCGTTGAGGGTCGCCCAATTGATTGGATTCAAGGAAGGCTCCACGTGCTTAGCAACAAGGCCTTCCATCTATCTTCAACGAGTTGCTCCGGCCTGGGTCACAAAAGAGTTGACCCTGTAAATCCCAGGTTGGCCAAGCCTGCATGAGAAAGCCTTGACCAATCTCTCCTTAGACCAAGCTCGGGAGCTCACAATCCTTGTTTTGTAGGTTCAGGCGAAGCTTCTTCCTCTAAAGCGGAGCTTTGGCACGTGTGGGTTTCTGTGGGCCGAATCTGGTCCGAAAGCGTTCCGGAACGCTTTCGAGCGGTGAAGTCGTTTGTGCTTTCATTGGAGCCTGGGCCCCAGAAAGCCGTATACAGACACACAACAGCTGTTGCTTTTGGGGCCTGACCCCCCCCCAACAAGAAAACGCCGCGCACTTAGTTGCACTGAGCGAGTCGCAAAGACAAAGACAATGGGGAGTCTAACCCTCTGCAGTCCTTCGACAACATCTCGGAGCCAGTCCTTGGTGGCGCATGCCGAGATGTTTTGACATGAGCCAAAATGGTGGCCAGGTTGATCCTTGAGCGGGAAAGGGGGTAATGATTGAAACACCGGACCCAAAGGCAAACATGATATATGCCTATATATATAGATTTATATATATATATATATAATATGGCATGTATATAATACAATATCCGCCTCTCGTCGTTCATCGCCATCATCACTCAGCTACTGGGGCCTTATTGAAGTCAGAACAAGACGCCCATGCAAACCGTCTACGCACGTAGCTCCACTTCCTTCTGAGCTGTTGTTCTCTGGGTTGTCGAAGTGGGGGCGGGACCCAAATTCGTACGCCGTAGAACGACACCGCAAGAGGAAAAATGTCTGGAACCAGAATCAGGATAGGCTTCAAAAGCCCAGTTCGGCGATGTTGAACGCTGCTGAGGCCCGCGGCAGAAGGGTCAGCATGCACCGGCTGCCCTCACAGGGCTGGCTTACGACTTCCCACAAGGCTCTTTGCGCATTTTCAGGCTACCTGGAGGTTGGGAGGCTTAGATGCCACCAATCAAAGCTTGTCCCTGAATCTAAGTGACTCATGCTGCAAGTATAGCTTACAATACATCTTTACCTCCAGATCCCGACCTGCATTGCTTCTTTTTTGCGACAGCTCTTGTCAAAGAAGGAGCATACACTGATGATAGGACATCATTATCTTCCCTCTCATGGGAAAGTTGATTAGTCACACCAAGCAGTATCTCTGAAGCATCTGTCGTATTGGCATTGCCGCATTCCAGGTGACTTGAAGGCACATCCGCGCACGGCACATGCGTGCGTGCCTGACTAGACTACAACTACAATCGAGAGAAAGAAATCCGGAGCTGTCCCGCTTCAAAAGTCGCGCTTTCTCAGTTCGTACACACCAAAAAAGGCTTGGGATGCTACACCAAAACACCTGAGGGGTGGCCTTCGGCCATCGCCGAAGCCATAGCTAGATGGATCATAAGGTGCTTGGGACCAGCTACGTCATCTTGAGGAGTTGGCACCATTTGTAGCCAATGTTTGCCCAATAAGCCAGCCTTCTGCGGAACGCCCTATTTTTAAGGTAGCCCCCCCTCAACGTTCAGCTCATTGGACCCTCCCAAAGCTGATAAGGCATGGCTTATCAGGATCTATGGGCGGCGGAGATGTCTCTTCCACTCCACTGCAAGGCTAATGTTGACCCAGGATTAATAAACCCCCGTTTGTTAATATGGGGGTGTTCCCCTCCAAAGGTGATGAATCCTGGGTCAAAAGGCTATGCCGCAAAAAAGGCTATGAGTTGATCATGGCCTGCGGGGCAGCTTTACATTGAGGTGCTCGACGACTCATTTTGTTCCCCAATGAACAGAGGAGTACGTCGTGATATGGAGGGGTTGTTTGGCTCACGTGCACGTATGGCACCATCACAGGCTCTGAAAATCCAGGTCGATCTCATCCTCCTGCGCCTTTTCCAAGCACTTCAAACTCTCATTGACGCCTGCCACGACCACCCGATGCTCGCGCTCCGTGGCCGTGTCGCGCAAAAACATTTCGCGCAGGACCGGCAAGAACCCGTCAAAAAGCTCCACGTCTCTGCAAGAGCTTCCGCTGCAGTAAGCGGTCGTAGCGGGAAAGTACCTGCTCTCGTCTTTCTGCACCAGCTGAAGCAGCTCAGTGGCCCTCTCCGCCCGCTGAGGAGTGTCCCGGCAGGTGGCCAAAAGCCGCCAGTAGATGGCCATCATCACGCCCACAATCTTCTGCTTGTCGCAGGGTTGTCCGTCCGGATGGCTGCGCGCGCAGCAGCTAAAGGCGCCACCAAGCACATCCAACACGGACTTGGTGTTGATCATGCCCTCCCAATCATCGCTGATGCCATCCTCGGTGCACACGAAGGCGGCACGCCGATCCTGGTCAAAGCTGCAGGTGCTGTAGCTGAGGGACTCCAAGCGGCACCAAGCGCGTGAGCTATAGCTGTGGATGTCGAGGTCCTGTCCGTTGTCTGCATGCTTGCAGGGAGGCACCACCGACAAAAACACGGAGCAGTAGGAGGCATAGACCGACAAAGAGTTGATCGCAGTTTGCTGCTGGCAGGCGTTCCCCTGTGGAATCGAACAGTAATCTACCCAGATCCAGCTGCACTGAATGCCCCTGGCCACCACCTCCTGCACCGACTTCACCATCGTCCTATACTGAATGCCCTCCGGGTCCGGATGGTCGAAGCCTGCCCACTGATGGCTCAGGAAGGCCACGCCCTCCAGGCGGCAGGTCCTTGCAGCGTCCTCCGTAAGGTCGATGCACCGCAGCTTGTGGGCCTCCCGGGCCTTCTCGTAGCTGATCAGCTGCCCCAGGCTCAGGAAGTCCTGCAGCCCCAAGAGGCACATGGGGAACTGCAGCAGGTTCATGTTGGTCACCGACGCCAGGATCGTCTTGGAGATCACCTCGTGCCGGTAGTCCTCGAGCTTCGCCAGTTGCTGGGCCTTCCGGCGCATGGCCATGATCATGTTCAGGCCCAGGCCCACACCCAGCAGAGCAGTCACCGGAAGAATCACCAAGACTCGCAGCCAAAAGTCGGAGGACACGGTGGGCCATCCATTGAGAGGCGCGACCTTGAGCCGCCAAGTGATGCCGGCCTCCTCCACATCGACATCCACCTCTACAGCCCTGGCCAGCGACTCTGTCTGGGAGGACTGGGCGTAGAAGTCGCTGGGAGCCTGCGGGCGCCGGTCTGCCAGCTCGTAGGCGAAGTTGTTGATCCCGGCCACTCGCTCGGTGCCAAGTTCCAGCTGGTGCAGCTCCACGGGGGCGATCAGCTCCTGCACGCGCCCGATCATCGTGGCGAAGCCCCAGAAGAAGGTGGGCGTCCCGTCCTGTGATGGGCCCGGGAAGCTGCAGTACTGCTCCTCCGGGTTGGAGCAGTTCCGGGTGTAGTTCACCCCGTCCTTGACAAACCAGGCGTCCGGGAGCACGGCGGGCGCGAAGCTGGTGAAAATGGGCCGGCGGGCGATGATGGCGATGCCCCCTTGAAGCAGCTTCAAAGGCCCGACCACCACGGTCTTGCGCTGGAGGATGGCTTGGATGGCCGCCGGGCTCATAAAAGGATCCAGCAGCAGGTTCAGCCCTAGGGCAGGCCGGTTGTCCTGCGTCTCATCCACCAGTGGGTAGATGTGCTGCAGATTCCCCAAGGGCGCCAATTGCAAATTGGTGATGCCCCCATAAGTGCTGATCAGCGTCGCAGCCAAACCGTCGAAATTATCCATGATGATACCTCCCTCATCAATCTGAATCATGGCGTGTAGCGCATGGACAGAACTCACCGAAGTCCGAATCTGACGGCGGATTTCTCCAGCATAGGTCTCTGCAAGGTCCACAACAGACGCCCTGGTAGCAATCCGCACAGATGTCTCCGACGCAGTCAAGTTGTAGGTGCTCACGACAACAATAGCCAAGATCACGAAGACGACGGCCCAAAACCGGGGCCATCGCATCCACACAGGAATCCGTCGCCTGCAAGCCATCTGCGTCCGCTCCGTGCACACGGATTCAGCAGCGAGTCTGGCAGAGGTGGAAAACCCGTACGGGGTCGAGGACATTGACATTGGATTGGCCACGGATCGTTCTTTGAACGCGGCAAAGCGGCTTCCCCTGGTCTTAATCTGAGCCTCTAACTAAGCACAAGGCTGGAATTGATTGGTAGCAAACCCTCAGTGTCTGAAAAGCGAACCAAAGTCAACCTTGAGCCAGAGGAAACCTGCAGAGCTCACAAATTCATTGCCATAACATCTCGCGCAACGGGCAGTGGCCGATCTCAAGTGTAAAGCTGACGGAACCCGTGGGGGACTCAGGTAGCACAAATCCTTGCCAGTCACACTGTGTCTGTCAAATAAACCTCGGTTGCTAACTCTGCTCCCCTGCTAAAAGTTTAACTTTTACTGGTTTAATGCAACATGGGTGTGGATCAATATTCTGGTGTGGAACGTTCCGCGGTGACGCGGACGTCTGGAACGAGTCAGTTACGCACGGCTGGTTGTTCCGGACCTCTGGGAAGACATGTGTGGAGTCCTCAAGCACACGTGAGCGAGAGGCGATTTCGAGCAACACGTGATCGTTTTTGGGGCTTCGCTATATCGTTCTGCAATGTTTCAGACACTGGTGTGTTTATGTCAAGGAAGAGTGGAAGGGGGAAAGAGAAAGAATGGAGGAAGAGAGCAGAGGAAGAGAAACTGGGAGGAAGAGAAAGCAGGAGGAGAAAGGACGAAGGGAAGAAGGATGGGGAGGAAGGGGTAAAGGAATCCAGGGAGTAAGGGAGCAAGGAAGGATGGGGCAAGGGAAAAAGGAGGGTGGAAGGGAAGGGAGGAAGAGGAAGGGAGGAAGAGGAAGGGAGGAAGAGGAAGGGAGGAAGAGGAAGGGAGGAAGAGGAAGGGAGGAAGAGGAAGGGAGGCAGGGCAGAAGAGGAAGGGAGGCAGGGCAGAAGAAGAAGGAAGGGAGCAAGGGAAGAAGGCAGGAAGGCAGGAAGGTGTGGTTTCGGTGTCGTTTTGAGTATCGTTTTGAGCAAGCAGTACTTCGGTGGCCAAAAATGCAGTTCACACTCCCCGAATGATCCGAAAAGGTGTTTTCGACGCTCCAAAATTACTTTTGGGTATGGTTTGGCGTGCCGACTGTGGCGCCTGCGGGTGCAAGCAAGAAGCATGAGCAGTAGGAAGGAGAGCAATCGGTGGCCCAGAATGCAGTTCACACCCCCCGAATGATCCGAAAAGGTGTTTTCGACGCGCTAAAATTACTTTTGGGTATGGTTTGGCGTGCCGACTGTGGCGCCTGCGGGTAATGCAAGTGAAGCGACCTGCGCAGTGAAAACTTGCAACTCACTGTTTCTCATGATTTGTGGGATTTGCGGTCGTTTGAAGTTGAGTTGTGAGCTGAGCTTGCAGCATGTATTTGCGTTTCGGCTCAGCTGCGTTCGGTTTGTGTCAGATGTGTTTCGCAATGTTTCTCCCATGCCCCGGCGCCAAATGAGCCCTGTCAGCAGTAGTGATGAGACGAGGCAGATGCTGCGACCTCATGAAACTTCTCCGGGAGTCGGACAGCAGTTTGCGAAGTGATGGGGACGTGCGAATCCGGAAGCTGCCTTTTGCTTCTTGTCGATGCGCGCTGCTCCGGCAAGTGTGGAGAGTGGCTGCGTGGGAGGGGGCGAGTGCTATCAGCCCGCAGACTGGTGGCATATTGAAGACTGGGAGCCAAGTCGTGCAAGCAAGAAGCATGAGCAGTAGGAAGGAGAGCAATCGGTGGCCCAGATTCACACCCCCCGAGTGATCCGAAAAGGTGTTTCGACGCTCTAAAATTACTTTTGGGTATGGTTTGGCATGCCGACTGTGGCGCCTGCGTGCGCAAGCAAGAAGCGTGAGCAGTAGGAAGGAGAGCAAGCAGTACTTCGGTGGACCAGAATGCAGTTCACACTCCGCGAATGATCGGAATTTTGGGTATGGTTTGGCGTGCCGACTGTGGCGCCTGCGGGTGCAAGCAAGAAGCATGAGCAGTAGGAAGGATCGGTGGCCCAGAATGCAGTTCACACTCCTCGAGTGATCCGAAAAGGTGTTTTCGACGCTCCAAAATGACTTTTGGGTATGGTTTGGCGCGCCGACTGTGGCGCCTGCGGGTGCAAGGTGGCCCAGAATGCAGTTCACACTCCTCGAGTGATCCGAAAAGGTGTTTTCGACGCTCCAAAATTACCGTTGGGTATGGTTTGGCATGCCGACTGTGGCGCCTGCGGGTGCAAGCAAGAAGCATGAGCAGCAATCGGTGGCCCAGAATGCAGTTCACACCCCGCGAATGATCCGAAAAGGTGTTTTCGACGCTCCAAAATTACTTTTGGGTATGGTTTGGCCGTTCCAGCAACCTCCAAATAGCAAGCCGGGGAACGCAGTTTTGAGTAACAGGCCGGGGAGTGTAGCTTTGGTCAAAAGCACCCAATAGGCGCATCTTGAGTGTCCAGTAGCTTGTGGGTATGGTTTGGCTGGCTTGTGGGTATGGTTTGGCCCTTCCGGCAACCACAAAAACAAGGCGTGCAGTTCCGGAACCCAAAGACCAACCCGGCCTTGATAAAGTGATCGACGCATATTTTGACCGTGACTCATGAGCCAGCGTCAATATTTGCTGCGTGGGCTGTATTCATTCTACTTTAAACGAGTCCCCTATGGTTCTCCGCGTTTCGCGCGTGGGTGCAGTGCCCGAAGAACCCTCTGTTCGGGCCTCGCGAGCGCGCAAAGCGCCCAATGAACCCTCTGCGAATTGCGCGTGTCAAAGCGCCCTCCCTGCGACGCCGTGCGGATTTGGAAAGTGCCCGGCGAACTTCCTGCAGTGAGCAATTTCTGCGGCAGAACTCTTGGAGCTCGGGCTCTTCTCCAAAGCCTTCCGGATCACAGATCTGCTCGGGCAAGTCAGGCCTTCCCATCCTCCTGCAGCAGCAGATCTCTGAGGAGCAAGCGCAAGCCCGCCAAGGCGTCCGCGGCCTGGCCCGTTACGGGCCCTTTGTGTGCGCGGAAGGATGTGCGCTGTGTGGTTGAAAAAGCAAACGCACTAGGTAGGCCTCACTTTGGCTGCTCCGGGACGTTCTCGGAGTATCGATGGGGTGTCGTTTTGGGTATCGTTCTGGGCGCGTGTAGTGTCACGAACAAAACAAACTTGCTATAAGCTAGAGCCAAGCAAGCGCACAAGAGCCTTCTCTACCTTGCGGTAGTCATGTGATCAGCGGACTAGACTATGCTTCTGGCTCCCAAGCATTGGCGGCTTTGCTTGCTGGCTGCAACTTCCAGGTCGCAAGTCGCAACTTTCAGTACCAGCGCAGTACGCAAGTTACACTTTGGCAGCTCCAGCTCGAAGGTCGCAGCGTGCGCCGGTGCCTGCGGGCGCCTGTGCGTGTGCGTGTGCGCGGGTGCGTTAGCGATCCATCTGGGTGGGCCCATCTCGTGCACACATGTGCCCACCATGCATTGCCGAGGAGCATTGACAGGAGCTGTCATGGCAACTTACAGCTTGGGGCAAAAGAAGGCTCACACAGTGCAAAATAGAAGCGCGAAGCGCCAGTTGCACGTCATGCGACGTTATCGTTTTTGGGGCTTCGCTATATCGTTCCTGAGGAAAAATACAAAACAAGCAACGCGAAATCGCCGAAGACATATTTTACGACGAGAGAGTTTAGCCTTTTGCTCGTTCATTTAGTGTAAGATGGATAGATGGATGGATGAATGAATGAATGAATGAATGGGTAGATGGATGGATGAAGCGATCAGGGGCGCGCGGCCGTACGATACGGCACCTCCTTGAAGGCTTCTTCGGCGGCATGGCGGGCCGCGTGAGAAGCGTAGCTACTGTGCATGTGGACTTGGTGGCAAATTGCTCCGCTGTGTCTGGAACACGTCTGGAACGGGTCTGGAACGGGGTCTGGAACGGTTACGCGAGTGGCTTGCACTAGCAAGCTGCATGTAAACATGGTCGTTTCAACAATGTGACGACCGAGAGCGGTATCGAACCGTTACCGTATCGTATCGAACAGATTGCGGCGGGGTTGACCCTTAACATTCACAGGCCGTTCCAAAAACACATCTGTCAACAGGACCGCTGCTTAATTCCATCCAAGTCCCAATGATTACAAGCCACGCAGCCCCAACCACCAAAGCTCGACAAGCAAACCCCATCGTTAGCACCTCAGGCTTCTCTCGAACACCAGCCTTAACGCGTAGCATTTGGCAAAACAAAAGGGGGGAGTCAATGACCTACCAAATCACCTTACCGTAAATACTCTAAACTAGACATAAATATATAAACAAGGTCTGGAACGGAAGGTCTGGAACGGAGGTCTGGAACGGAGGTCTGGATCGCATGTGGGTTCCGGACCCTGTTCCGGACCTTATAAATTGACTCGCAGCCACATTTATTTGTTGGCAAAAAGTCAAAGTCCTAACATCCAAGCAACATGCACCAAAGAAACTTGCTGCATCACCCCGCCTCTGTCTGAAGTTGGAAGTCCTGGCAAATTGCGGTTTGGTCGTAGCTGTGATTGGCGCTGATCCGGGGAACCAGTGCTGAAACACTAGTGACTTGTCACATGCCCACATGCGAGCATCAGCCTGGCTCCGCAGGCTTTAAATCAACGAAGGAAACTTAATGCATCCGTCCAAAAGGAACGCGGGCTGTTCAAAACCGAGGGCCCGTTGGCCGTCGAAATATCCAAACTCCCCGAGGAAAAAACCCAAAGTGAAACCACCCAGGGTTTTTCTTCGGGGAGTTTGGGCTGCTGGGAAACTGGAACCAACCCAGGGGAACTTGTCTGCTCGGAAAGTGAAACGAAGCCCTTCCCCCCCTAAAGGCCGACGCGGGTCCTCTTTGGGCGGCGACCTTGGCGGGCGACATGCAAAAAGAACCATGACTCACTCCTGCAGGTTAACATAAAACAACAAAATTATTAGTGCCCAAAATCATTTGGGAAGATCCCTTTTGAGGTTTCATTTGCTCCGGGAATGATTACTGAATAACCGAAAAGAAGGCGGTCGCGATTGTGCCCTGGCGAAAGAACTTCCTTCTCTTCTTGTATGCAAGCCAGCCTTTCCAATGGCGTTGTGCGGCTTTCAGTTTTGCATCTGGGCATGAGAGGTCGGCAAAAAGCCTTTCAGATTTCAAGAGCTGTGCCGAGAGAAGCATACATCCCTGCATACCTGACAAGCGCCACAAGGAACTGCAC